GTGCACACAAACACACACACACAAAACACTTCAAAGGCAACATAGAGAGAGACTTCTGGATCTGCCTTATACCTTTAGTCTTGGTGCTTGTGCTAGTGCAGTATGTTGGGGGTTTTAATGAAAAGAAGCAGTGCAAAACTGGACTGTTTATGAACTACTCTAGAAAGCCAATGCCAGTCTATGTGGCATCCCTGCTGAGAAGAGAAGGGCAGACAGAAACCTGTAGACTTCAGATATTTACCCACTCAAATCTCTGTTGCTGTCACGTTTAGGGATCAAGTGCTCTTGTGGCTGTGTGCTCTGTCTCCAGGGTCTTATCAGTGACTGCATGTGTGTATCAGGCATGAAAGCAGCAGGGGGCCAGTTCTCCCAGCACGTGTGCACCTGGCGGACCAGTGGCCTTGAATACTAAGCACACGGCTCTGGTCGTGGATCTTCCTGCCCATTAGCTGTCAGTTATCATGGCTCCTCACCTCTTCCTCTGGAAAAAACGCTCACACAAGTACAGCAAGCTGTGCTTCGAACTGGCATATCTGTTCAATTGTGGTTGCACATTGTGGTTTAACAACAGGCACCTGCTAGTTGTGCTTTTTGAAGCATCAGGTCTAATGATGGAAAGAAACACTACACTTCCTCACACATTCCTATGGATGTATTACAAAATAATTCACTTTTTTGTTTGTCTGATGCTGTCGTGAATATGCATAATTTCTCATCTGTATCAGGTAGTTTCCGCAATTGTGGCATATTTTGGCATTACATTACTTTTTAAAAAACTGTTTCTTAAATAATTGTAAGAATAAAAAATCAAGTATAATCAAATATATCTTTAATTTATTATCAATACAAGTTTGTATGCAACAAATGCCTTGTTTATAATGGGTTTTAATGTTTTTGTCTCGTCGCTCCGGACGGACGGCATCACAGTATGGTAAAGGGCGTAACATTTCCGTCACACGCTTGAGGTATTCGGCCAATCACCATGCACTGGATAGCTGGCCAATCAGAGCACACCTCGCTTTTCAGAACGATGAGCTTTGTAAAAATCGGCGCGTTTCAGAAAGGCGGGGCATAGAGGAGCAACAATAATGTACAGTATGTGGAAAATAGTGTGTTTTTTTAACCTTAAACCACAAACACATTGCATTACACCAAATACACAAAATAATGTTATTTTTAGCAACGTTATATGACCCCTTTTAACTTCAAACTTGAGTCCTCTATTCATAATATTGCTTTCTCTTCATCTCATCCCTAATCGGGAGAGAAATATGCAAAGATCAAGCACAATTACAAGCAAAAACAGTACAAAAGAGTTCTAAACAAATATATCAATGGATTTATATGTGAGAGGAAAACAGGGGATGGACTTCTTCACTGGAGGAAGTGTTATTTTGAATTATGTAGTTGTATTTTGACCAGAAGTGACTGTTTAAAGTCAAAATGCCATTGATTATATTTTATTAATGTAATAAATGGTGTCTATTTGATTTTGATATTTAATATTTATTTCTAGAAAATAACAAATAAACAAAAATTCTAACTGTTTAGATATTGTAATAAGGGTGCAAAAATTGCAAACCTCATAAAACGGCTTGACCTAACAAAGAAAATAAGCATTTTTTTTGTTTCAGGCTGTGTTTTGTATCCTGAATGGAAAGTTGCTCAATGTATTCAGCAAAGTAACTGCAATCTGAATACCACCCTGATGACACCTAAGCCTATACTATTATTTTATGATTTGCTCACGTGAAAATATCACCTCCATCTCCACCATATCCCTCTTCTCACACATCCCCACCTCAGCGTCTGTCACCCACCTCAACACAGTGTGTTACTCCTGCATGTGAGAGCCGCTCTTTATCATCAGCACTGTCTGGTGGCTTACATGAAACAACTCAAATCTCCTGTTTTTACTGAATAGCACCCTTGTCTTATTCAGTATCATACCACCACATAAAGGATGTTCAGATCATCCCTGCATGTCATGAGTCATTTGTATTTCATGACTGTTTTTGAAATGAGCTGATTTGCACACTATATATCGTTACACTTGTTGTATTGGCATATTTGTCTGGCAGCCATTAGTCTGTGACACACAGCTCTTGATGAGTCTGAATGCCTCATCATAGAGCGATACACCAGTGTTGTCCTGCGCACACGGCGATAATTGCCTTCAGCTAGCAAATCCCCTGAAGCATTTAATGCTCTTTATGTTACGGAGGTGTTTCGCTTACATCTCGCTCCGGCCGAAATCATAACAAGTAGCAGATTTGCACAGCGAGTGAAATTAAATAATGAAAATGGGTTTATAATTGCAGGGAGTGTAAACAAAGCCCTCGAAAATCTCCATATGACTTTCTGTTTGAAGAGTCTAAGACAAGACCACTTCAACATGCATTTTGATGCATTTCATATATCAAATATCACTTTTTATGAGTTATATTGGATATTCTTTGAGTTAGGATTCTTTTCTAGATATATATGGATGTAATATAATGGATTGCCAGTTAATAGTTGGTATTTTGTTCAGGATTTGGTGTCTTTTGAGATATTTAGAAAGGTTAACTCGACATTAAAGAGACTGAGAGTCATAAAAATGTGCCTACAGGGCAGGAACAAAATCCACACAGACACCATGTAATCGCTGTATCGAATGGAAGAAAAGAGCTGGAATAGCAATAATTCCATACTGTGGGCTTCCGAGACTTAAAACACAAGATGACAAACAGAGAAAAAAGGTGCAAGACAAAAACAGATCACCGCATATCTGAGTAAATGTATATGTGGTGAGAAAAAGACAGATATATAGTAGAAATGTCTGAGAAAAATAGCAGAAGAGCAGAGGTTAAGCAATGAAAGCTCCTTAATCGAGAATAAGGTGTCAAAGTAAAATGCCATTTGAGAGGGAGGGTGATAGAGAGAGAGCGAGCGAGAGAGAGAGAGAGAGAGAGAGAGAGAGAGAGAGAATGAGAGGTATTCACGGTGAAGGATGCACACACACAGTCTGTGCAGGCGAGGACGGCACCTCATCTTTGGAGATTGTGACGATGCAGATTTAGCCAGAGCTGGTGTCTGTGTGATGTGACGAGAGACTGAGGACTAGGACTGAGACTGAACCTGAGGTTTGACCATGTCTGAGTTCAGGTCCAGAGTGCGCTGTCGGAGAGCTGGTGTCCGTGCTGCCGCCGCTCTTATCGGACTCCTCCACCGTTCACGCAAGCGGTGTGAGAGACGGAGGTTGACGGAGACAGACGGCCAGTGGTGGGTGAACATCATTGTGGGTCGTATATATCTGTATGTGGTGGAGAGAGAGATATGTGTGTGTGAGAAAGAGGTCAGAACATCCATGCATTATTTAAGTTTGTACTCAATGCAACACTGCTGTTCATGAATTAGTTTTTGGATTCTGTCACACAAAGTTTGGCTGGAAATTGAAACTCCAGGGGAATGTTTTGGAGGACTTGTACTCAATTAATTCTAGGCCGCATGTTCTGCACACTTTATGAGCAAGTTGTGCTTAGTGGTTTTTGGTGCTCTCTGGCCAAAAAACAAGGGAATTTTTGGTAGCTTTATGATTTTATAAATAATATAGTTACTAGTAATACTGTTTGATGAGGATTAGTGTAAACAAATTGTTCAGTGTTGTGTAGCAGCCAGGTTTTGTATCAGTACTTTACATGATTCAGTCATTTTGGCATCTTAATTTGTAATATTATATTTTAGCATCATCAGTAGCATCTTGATTTCAGAATCAATATTTATTTCCTAGCAAACTGAGTAATGAGTATTTTTGAGAGGAAATGTGTTTCTATGGGTTTTGGATGGATGGATGGATGGATAGATAGATAGATAGATAGATAGTGAAATTACCCACAATCACTCTCGCTGAGTTTTCCAGGAAAGGTGTTTTCATGTTGACTGAAATGACAGACAATGTGACAATAAGCTGTTCACATCCTCCCAGAGGTGTGAAGATAATTCTCCTGGTCAGGATGTGTTGTTTACTTGGTATGGTGCCATTTATTGAGTATATTTCTCTGTGTGTGTGTGTTTTTTTGTCCAAATATGAGCTGAAGTATCAGAAGTTTTTGTGTGTATAAGTACATGCAGACTGGATTCTTTTGGCTAGAGTGTTGAGTATGTGAGCGAAATACCTTGTCAAGCATAATGAACGATATGTCACTTGCTCCCTAATACGAATATATTGATGGATTTATGGGATCTATTTACAGAGAGCTTATGAAGGATTGGGTGGGTATTTTTAGAGCCTTGTTCATTTCTGTCTCTAACCTCTCCCTTGCTCCCCCTTTCTCTCTGTTTCTCTGTCCGTACCTCACTTATGAAGAGGGAGGTGGAAAGCGAAGGAAAATTAATTTTGAGCAGGAGCCTCTACATCCTCAACCTGTCAGCCTCCTGTCCTGAGAACTCATTTAAAGAACAGATTGCCCATCTTTGGCCCATTTTTTATTGATGATCTTGAAATCATATGAGGGTCAAATAGGAGAGGTACATTCCTGAGGAGTGAAATGAGGCAATAGAAAGGCTTTCAGCGAGGATCCTCTCTGTGTGAAGACGACACTGCAGACAACCATACAAAATTCAATTGTCAGCTTTTAGAAGTGCACTTATAGTATCTTTTTTTATTATAGCCTACTTTATACTTTCGCTATTTTACTGACATTTAGAGGCAGTTTTTAGCTTCTGATGCCACATTGAAGAAATTCAAAGTCAGTCAGGTTAACTTGTTCCACCAATCAATCAATCAATAAATCAATCAATAAATGCATTCTTTTTTCACATTTAAACATTCATAAAGATGAGAAAGAATAATGAGTGCGCCTCTAAGATTAGTAGACGAAGATCATAGATTAATGCATTAGGGAAACTGTGCAAAATGTTACTTTCTGTGTATTTCAGTACATTTGTAGCTGTATATTTGTTGCTTTAATGTTATTTTAAAAGTGTGGAATGACGGTGATGATGTCACTGTGTTGCAGGAAGCAGGAGTTGCTGACCATCTCCAATGTACCCCTGGCAGACTGCCCTCCCTCTCCCCCCAGAACCGCCCCTCCCACCATGAAGGTAAGCGGCACGTCTGTTTCTCAGGGCCTGTTATGAATCAGCACTGAAAGAAGATTTGCAGAGAGAGCTTACAGCTGCAAAAAGCAAATTGAGGCATGGTGTCAAGCCTCCAGATAACATTTCAGAAATAGTTTATTATAAAGCCGCAATTATTGACTCATTTGGTTCACACAGATAAAACCGTCTTTCTTCTCTCTTTTCTGGAGACAAGACCCTAGCACAAACCTGTAGCTGGTGATGTGCCCTGTTTACTCAGTAGACCATGACTTCAGACATCATCCCCTAGGTAGTCTATACCTGTATGCTCCTCAGAGAAGGAAGAAAGGAAAAGCAAACTCTCAAAATGCCTGTCACATTTTATAAGAATGGAAGAGTTTTTGAAAAATGCACTAAATGTACAATAGTCACATGTATAGTGGGATCAATTTTAGTTAGTCAGCTTATTGCAGATATTCTTATTTTATGTGAACATAAATTACAGCTTGCCACACAAAGACAACTACACTATTCCCTGCTGGTTATGTATAACATTAAGGGTCCCAATACAGAACCCTGAGGAACCTCAAAATGTTCTTTTTTTTATTATTACATGTTTATAACAGATTGTCAGACTAACTTGTGTTGGCCAGGCAAGATCCTTTGGCATTCTGTGAGATCAGCAGCTACAAAAGCAGTTGTATGAATATAACAGATTGTCGGATTAACTTGTGTCTTCTGGCATACTGTATACTCAGCAACAAAAATAGCAGATTGTGATATTTAGTGCTCTGAACTGACAGTAAGTGCTGCTTGCTGCAGCAATACATAAGGGATTACAAGACTCAACCACATTCATGTCATTCACACCTAGTAGACTATAATGCGTGATGGCCTTGATGTTGACATGCTAAATAGAGTGAAAATACTTGCCATGTTATAGGTTAGCCAAAATATTAACCTCTATATTTCTTTTTCAACAGTCTACTCAGTTTTTTGACATGTTGGACAAGATGGAGGTAAGAAGTGAAATCCTTGAAAAAAGTGAATATATACAGTATATATAATATTACCTTGTTTGTTTTTATTTTTACTTGGATAGTCAGCTGTCAGCTAGAGTAGCTACTTAGTGCTAAATTGTTTAATTCAACTTTGGTTAAATAGAAAATATAGGTGTGGTAATTGTGTTTGGTGCCTCACCACTCCTCCACTGTCAGTTGCTAACACTGCAACCTCTGACATTTTGACCCCGACCCTTTAGCAGGTTTCTGAGGTGGAGGAAATGAGGCCACAAAGATTAAAGGTCAGAGGGTTTGAAAACATTTAACTAGATTACACCTCAGCTCAGTGCTTGTCTATATTTCGAACTTGAAGTATTTTCATTGCATGAGGTTGGAGTTCTTCATAAATGTCCTGTATGCATCATTATATATTGTACAGTAGGTCCAAAAGTCTGAAAATACTCTGAAAGTCCCATTTAAACCTGGATTTTAAAGAAATTTTAGAATTTTCAAAACAATAAAACCATTTTAGATTCTGTGTTATTTAAGTGTCATTGAGGCAAAAAGGGGACATACTAAAACTAAAACATTCTGAAATTAATTTTCAATTTTTAAATAAATTGTTGTGCTCATACTATAATGATGTTTGAGACTTTAGTCTTTGCAACTTTACAGATCTTCTTTATGCACCAAGAGCTTGTAACACTCTAAAGAGAAAGGAAAAAATGAAATCGCATCATATGACCCCTTTAAATTAGACAAATGCAAAATAGAAGCATTTTCACTTGGGCTCAGACATTTGGACTGCGTTTTATACATACAGTATAGAAAACCAAGTGCTGGATTAAGCATTTTTAAACGTCTTACAAGCAAAATAACAACAAAGACCACCACTAAAGAAATAATCCTACCCTCAAATGCATGTGTTCATTCAGATTGTCCAGACAGCCACATAAAAATGTCTGTTGTAAGCATGACTGTGAAGCGTTGTGTGGACTGCATGTAATTTCTCATATAATGTGGTTGCATGAGCAACATATGCCTCATAACACGCTTCCTGTCATGGCACAATCATCTTTCCAAAACACTGTGAAGATGTCCATTTACAGCATTATCTTATGAAAGTGTTATTTTTACCCCTGCAGGATGATTACATTCCATACCCACAGATAAAGGAGGTACAGCAATCCAAATCTGTTACTATAATAATATATACTTCTAAAAACAGTGGATTGGATTTGGATCTAATTGTTTGATTTCTCTTTCAAAGGTGTTACAGCGGGGTGAGCCATACCCTCAGGTTATCCTGCCTCAGTTCGGGGGTTACTGGATAGAAGATCCCGACGCCTCTACTGCCATCCCTAACTGGGAGAATGGCTTCTGTGATGAGGAAGATGGAGAAGGAAGCAATTCAGGACAGTTTGGCTACAGACTGGAGAGTAACTATGCCATTCGCGCGTACCGCAAGAACTTTCTGGGCAGGGTGAGAACTCAGTGGTTGTGCAATTACGTTTAGTAAAACCAATCCACATCAGGATGGGGCTATTATACTTGAATGTACCATCAGACAGGGGCTTTTGGCAAATATTTGTCTAAGATCATTTCAAACGGATCACTCACAGGTCGTTTTTTATTGTCAGAGCGCTGATAATCAGCAGTAGGTGTAATTTAACGCAGTGTTCTTTATACCGGCGATGGATTTGTTCGCAATTAAACCGCTTTCTCTTATCTGCCGGTCTCAGGAACATCTGAACTTCTACTGCACGGCCAGTAACCATGGCAACCTTGTACTGTCCCTCAGACACGAGGAGGTAAAGGAGCAAGAGTACCTGCACATCATTCTCAGGTAATAACAGCCCTTTCAATCTCTTATGTGTAATTACATGATTGGCACATTTTGAAACGTTTGATTGCATTTTTCTATCAAATTCTCCCTCGCTTAGGACTCCATCAAAGACAATCTATGACAGGATCTCTTTGGCGGGCTTGACTGAGCTCCCCAGTGTCCCTCAATTAGCAAAGGTAGTGATTGTACCCTGCAGAGATGGTTCACGGGCTTTAACCACTTAAAACACCCTGACAGGCCCTTAAGTCTTATTGATTAACTCTAAAGAACAAAAAGTCATCTCTAAAGTGTAAACACAATTATTTACCAGTATGTCGTCTGCCATTTTAAAGGTTAGACTGATGTGTACGTGCAGTAAAAAAACATTTTGTTTTCATTAAATATATCCAAACATTCAAGTACTTGTTTATTTATTCTTCTCACCCCATTGTTTTGTGAGTCTGTCTCACATAATGCAGCTTTGCAAAGAGGCTGTTACTGAAGGATGGAGGAGGTCAAAGTATATTATATTAAAAATATATATTGGATGGGACAGTAAACCCACAGCCTGTGTCAGAGTGGAGCTTCACACTTCACATGCAAATGTGGTGTTTCTTACAGGCACAGCAGAAAAAAACAGACTATTTATTTCTAAGGGTCAGATAGAAAACACTTTTGTGTTGTGTGTTTTGTTATGTGAGTGCTTTTGGTATGAAAACAAATAACACCATGTGGAAAAAAAATATAATAATTATAAAAGGTAACTTATGACATCTTTAAAGAATTAAATGAGTGAACCGTAACACAGACTAAGTGGCTGTTTGTGTTTTTGTGTCTTTGTGTCATGGTTTTCCCACTATAGCTACTATGTGAAGACATTGTAGGTCTGCGGTTTAGTCCTGTGCTGTACCCAAAGGTGAGTTCAAGATTAAGATTTTTATAATTAATGTTGTAATGTTATATTATATGCACTATTTTTCAAAAGTTTGGGGACTAATTTGTTTTTTCAACAAAATTCATGTTTTTATTTGACTCCATTGTTAAAAAGTGTCAGTAAAGACATTTATAAAAACATGTCTTTATTTCTGTATAAAGACAATTATGTTTCTATTTTAAATACATGCTGTTTTTGAACCTTTTATTCATCAAAGAATCTTAAAAAAATGTATTATTGCTTTCATAAAATTATTAAGCAGCACAACTGTTTTTAATGTTGATAATAATAAGAAATGTTTCTTAGGCACCAAATCAGCATATTAGAATCATTTCTAAAGGATCATGTAACACTGAAAACTGGAGCAATGGCTGCTGAAAATTAATACATTGTTTTCAAATATATTGCACTAGAAAGCAGTTAAATTTTAATGCCATAAGGTTTCAGAATAATACTGTTTTACTCTATTTTTAACCAAATTAATGCAGCCTTGGCGAGCAAGCCTTTTTTCAATAACATTTAAAAACCTTAAATATTTGAACAGGTGTTTATAAAAAAATATATAGATTTATTTTTATTATTCCTTATCATTCCCACAACGCTTTTGCAATTTTTTTAACATATTAATTATTTTTTAGCACAAAAAAAAATTTCATAAAAACAACAACTTTTAAAATGTAAAAAATAGATATACTGTTTAAAATTAAGACAAAATATTTTGGGGGCCACTATATGTTTCAAATTAAAGTGATTTTTTTTTTTTAATTACATGATGCTTATCCCTCAAGTCTGTGAGGGTATTGCATATTTCATTAACGCAATATTGCTTCTAGCTAAGATGATATTAATGTGTTAGATAAAAGCCCATTACAGATTTTAAAATTAGCAGTATGTTTTGCAATGCACAATAACTGTTTTGGCAGCTTGTTTATTAAAGAAAGTATTTTAGTCAGTAGCGAGATGGTTTAAGACACAAAAACTGAAATCTTGAAACTATGAAGAGCATAATGATGAAGAGCATATTTTGATATTTGTCTTTGTTTATGTTTGTTTTTTGCAGGGCTCACAATTAATAGTGAATTATGATGACCATGAGTTAAACAACACCTTCAAGTTTGGTGTCATCTACCAAAAGTTTGGCCAGGTGAGGAAATTATTGTTGAATGTGTGCAGTTCACTGGCCGTTATAAATATCAAAGACTGCCAGACTGAGGTTCTCAAGGACACTTTAACAGAAGCTTTCTTATCAAGCTGCTTCGATCTGAATCACCAAAGCAATAAATCAATAAGTTGTTACAGTATGTGAGTTTTTTATCTGTTATTTCCTGTTATCTTTCCACATTTCCTTCCCTTCCTGCTGTTTTCTTCAACGTTTGCCATTCACTAATGTCTTCTGATACTCTCTGATGCCCACAGACCTCAGAGGAGGAGTTGTTTGGGAACAATGAAGAAACTCCAGCGTTTACAGAGTTTCTCCGAGTGTTGGGAGACTGTGTAGAGCTGCAGGACTTTAAAGGGTAAAAAAAATTTAAGAGAGAAATAAAAAAAGAAAAATGAATGTGATTTGTTAGGATGTGTGAATATTCTGCTTTCCCACAACCAAAGCATTTTAGAATTCAAATCTTAGATGTTTACTAAGATACTTCTATTATCTATTGAAACCCACAATAATATTTAAAATAATAGTAAGCTTAATATATATATATATATATATAATCATCATTTATTGGGTACTTTCAATTGGGAGGTGGCTGTCTTGAACCCTAACCCCTAAATTTAAACTTATGAAAATGATACTGAAATTTTTTTTTTTCATTGTTGTTTTTAAAAGTATCTTTTTGATTCTTTTAAAAAGTGAAGTTCAAAAAAATATCTATTTATTTTATATTTTCTTTGTAAATTATGAAACTTTATGTAAAAAATGTCCCGCATTTTCATGTCACTACCGAAACAGTGTATGTTTTAGTCCATTGGCTGAGACTGATTTAACTACACCCCTACATTTATGATCAGGAAATATTTATGTGTAATTCTCTCTCGTAGCTACATGTGAGTAGTAGATAGGTTCTATCATTTTGAGGCAAATGTGTTCAAAATCTGAAAAATCTGTGTGCAACTTTAAGGAACGTCACTACCAAACACCTTATTTCGGCAATTAAGCACACTTTTTTGGGAGTTATTCCATAGCATTTTGACACTGTTCAAAGCTGTGCTAGCTAACCATGTGCTGATTAGCATCTTTTAGGTAGGTTCAAAAGTATCTAAAATTGTCACTACCGAAACGGTAGTGGCGGAGTTTCTGTAGTGACTTCTTTCGGTTTTTTTGGGGGTGTTAACCCATAAAATTGTCATGACCGAAACATGTCATCATTGTTTCGGTAGTGACAAAAGGGAACACATAAGCCTCATATTTGGAGGAAATAAACAAAAATTTTGTACAGTTATGCAAATATTTTGTATTTTAGTATGTTTTAGTAGTGTTTTAGTGTTTTAGCAAGTTAAAATTCTGTAATGTGATGTGGTTGCTACCAAAGCATTACTGTCACTACCGAAACATGGGACATTTTGTCAAAAATAAAGTAAGATGTTGTAATAGTTTTTGGTTCAATTTGTCATTACCGAAACAGTCATGACCGAAACATGTCATCATTGTTTCGGTAGTGACAAAAGGGAACACATAAGCCTCATATTTGGAGGAAATAAACAAAAATTTTGTACAGTTATGCAAATATTTTGTATTTTAGTATGTTTTAGTAGTGTTTTAGTGTTTTAGCAAGTTAAAATTCTGTAATGTGATGTGGTTGCTACCAAAGCATTACTGTCACTACCGAAACATGGGACATTTTGTCAAAAATAAAGTAAGATGTTGTAATAGTTTTTGGTTCAATGTATATTCAAACTAATGTATCCTTAACTTTGAAATCAGTATGATCAACTTTTTGCCTTTTACAAAGAAAAATTAGATTAAAAATACAACAAATCTCATGAATTACACTTCAAATATTGTTAAAAATGTAACTGTCATTGATTTTACCTCTGCAAAAAATTTTTATAAAATTGCAAAAAAAGATATGTACAATGTAGATGTAAGCACAATCTTAATAGGTCAATATAACCCTTCTAATTAAATTATTATTACTGTGTTTCAGTAGTGACAAATTTGGGGAGAGGACACATATTCCAAAACTTTCTGAAAATACAATATGAGAATTAACTGCACAATTACTAGAAATGTGTACCTTGGATATTATACAAATTGTTTGGAAAAACATATGTTTTCAAGACGTTTCCAACTCTGACTTTGGAGCAATTCTGTAGAATGGCCCATATAAAAGGGCAGAATTTGACTTCTCCATGCACAATCCTTAAATTCAAGTCATGCTGTTTCATCAGTAAACACTTGTACTTTTAGTTCATTTTCAATTTTCACTTTGTGTCTTATATTCAGGTTTCGAGGTGGTTTGGATGTGTCTCACGGTCAGACAGGGTCTCAGTCGGTCTACACTGTGTTCAGAGGACAGGAACTCATGTTTCACATCTCCACCAAACTACCCTATACTGAGGGAGACGCGCAGCAGGTGCTCACTATGATCAAAATCTACACAATTCCAACATTGGGACAACGGGTATGCTGACAGTTAGTATTGGTATTTTCCTACAAATAGGTCCAAAGGAAGCGTCACATTGGGAATGACATTGTGGCTGCAGTTTTTCAAGAGGATCCCACACCTTTTGTGCCCGACATGATCGCTTCCAATTTCCTCCATGCCTTTATTTTAGTTCAAGTGGAAAACCCTGGAACAGATGACACCACATACAAGGTTTGTCATCATTTCTTTTGTAAAATGTTTGAGAAAAAAATTATGTGATTACTGAAAGTGTTTGTGGTAATTCTAACTGTATGCTGAATTGTAATTATATGGTGCAGGTGTCTGTCACAGCCCGTGAAGATGTGCCACAGTTCGGCCCTCCTCTTCCCAGTCCACCCATCTTCAAAAAGGTCAATAAGTGCACCACAGCTTCAACACTGCATTATTTTATATTAGTATTTTTGTATTTTTATATTAATATTGGGCAGCCAGTTTGCTGTCAGATTATTGTTTTTCTGAAGGTCACATTTGCTTGTTACAGGCAAGATTTTGTCATGTCGTTGTTTTTTATGGCTGTTCTTGCATCTTTGTTATATTTGCCGTGTCATTGTATTATCTCTTAGGGTCCAGAATTCAGAGAGTTTCTGCTGACCAAGCTGATCAATGCAGAGCTGGCATGCTACAGGTCAAGCCGATTTGCCAAGCTTGAGGTGAGGAAACAATAGAGCATCTTTTATTACCGCAATAAAGTCTTGATGTACAATTGAACAGCTAAAGGCTGATAAGATTCTGCTTTGCCACAATCTCTGAATCGTTAATCCTTACGTTGTATTGGGGGTCTCAGAGACCCCAGGGCCATTTTAAAAATAGCTTCTTGGCTTTTCCTAAACATATGACATTAGATTATAAACCAAACATGATAACTCTTTTCAAACGTCCTTCATTAAAAGTGTAACATTACTTATTTGGGGTCATAGCATGAATAAATACAATGCATTTTCACATATTACAAGAATTAGAAGGGAAAATAAAGTGATTAATTTAGTTTGTACACTGTACAAAACCATTCAAAAGTTTGGGGGACTGTAAGAATTTTTTTACGTTTTTGAAGTCTCTTATGCTCACTAAGGCTGAATTTATTTGATCAATAATAAAGTAATATTGTAAAATGGTTTTCTAGTTTAATATATTTTAAAGTGTAATTTATTATTGTGATGGCAAAGCTGAATTTTCAGCATCATTACTCCAGTCTTCAGTGTCACATGATCCTTCAGAAATCATTCTAATATGCTGATTTGGTGCTCAAGTAACATTTATTATGATGTTAATATATTTGTGGAAACAGTGATACATTTTTCAGGATTATTTGAATAGAAATGTAAAAACTGCATTTTTTAAACATTTTAAATGCAATTTCTGTCACATTTGATCTATTGAATGCATCCTTGCTGCATAAAAGTATTCATTTAATTTTTTTTTTTTTTTTAATGGTACTGTACATCATTTGGTCCTCTGGGACTCCAAATTTATGAACGGTAAGATCAGTTTCAACAGAACGTGTGATAATGTTTTGTGTTATAGGAGAGAACACGAACAGAACTGCTAGATAACCTTCATAATGAGTTACACAAGCGCACGCAGGCAATGCTGGGTCATCCCCTCAGCGCAGATGAAGAGAGGATGGAGAACGGAGGACATGGAGGAATACTGGAGTCTATTAAGGTATAACATCCAAAAGATTAGCCGTCATATTCGCATGCAGCTTGTCAAAACTAAGGGTGAACTATCCTTTTAATGTCTTTTTGTCTCTCTCAGCGGGCGATGCGCGTGCGCAGTCACTCTATGGAGGCGATGGTGGGCTCGCAGAAACACGGCCGCTGCTCTCCGGCGGGAGGAGGCGTACCCACCAGCCTGAGCGGGGTCGGTCTGACACACAGCAACACTGAGGCTGCCAAGAGCTCTGTGAGCATCTTATTATGTTCACAACACACACACACAAATAAACTGGATCTACAGGTGCATCTCAATAAATTAGAATGTCGTGGAAAAGTTCATTTATTTCAGTAATTCAACTCAAATTGTGAAACTCGTGTATTAAATAAATTCAATGCACACAGACTGAAGTAGTTTAAGTCTTTGGTTCTTTTAATTGTGATGATTTTGGCTCACATTTAACAAAAACCCACCAATTCACTATCTCAACAAATTAGAATACTTCATAAGACCAATAAAAAAAAATATTTTTAGTGAATTGTTGGCCTTCTGGAAAGTATGTTAATTTACTGTACATGTACTCAATACTTGGTAGGGGCTCCTTTTGCTTTAATTACTGCCTCAATTCGGCGTGGCATGGAGGTGATCAGTTTGTGGCACTGCTGAGGTGGTATGGAAGCCCAGGTTTCTTTGACAGTGGCCTTCAGCTCATCTGCATTTTTTGGTTCATAGATCCTGTTAATTTATTTAATACACGAGTTTCACAATTTGAGTTGAATTACTGAAATTAACTTTTCCACGACATTCTAATTGATTGAGATGCACATGTAAATGGCCAAGTTAGTGTGGTAACAGCCACAGTGTAATAGCTTTGTAGTTCACTTTAATTATTTGAATATAACTTGATTTGTATAATTAACCCTGCACATATAACCCTGAACCTTTTCATATATTTTTAGTCTCCAGTGACGTCAAGCGCCAAGTCTCCTCTGAAAAGCCCAGTGAAGAGACGCTCAGGTCTGTTCCCGCGGCTGCACACCAGTATGGATGGACAGCCAGAGCGCCACACACGCAGGTTTGACAAATACGCAAAAATACACACTTACAGATCTGTAATCAGTATATATATATATACCATTCTGAAATATGATAGCTTTCAGAATTGCAATCAAAATTTCTAGTCAATGTTATGTCCCAGACTCCCAGCTAACAGGGAACGTTCTCAGAACTTTTACTAACCTTCTGGCAAAGTTATGAATAAACGTTCTTCTAGTGACGTTAATAGAAGTTAGTTCAGCGTAATCTTGTCTTTAAAAATGTTCTCAAAAGGTTAACACAAATATTAACATTCATGGAATGCTTTGTTTCTGAAACGTTTTAGTTGGACCTTCATCATTCATGTTTTTTAAATGTTACAAGTTGTTTTAGAACAGTCAGAAAACATTCAGAAATAATGTTCCTATAATGTTTGATTAAATTATACAACGGGATGTTCCCATAATGTTTGCATAATTTAAAAAAAAAAAAAAAGCTTTTTAAAATCTTTTAAAAATCTGGTTTTAAACGATCAGAGAACATTCAGAAATAATGTTTTCATAACTTAATGGGATGGGATTCCCATTAATGTAATGGGAATGTTAGCAAAACATTCTTAAAACATATATTTGATCAGCTGGGGTGCCACAGGGTTTTCAAATTTTATGAATATTTTCATATATACAAATTACATACTGAGTTAGAAAAATAGTATGTTATTACAAAGATGATATTATAAAAACAACCAAATTAAAAATTGTTTCAGAAATTGATTGATTGATTGCAAAATATCTTTTACACTGTCATTATGCTAATGACGCAAATGATTAAAATATTAAATTATTAAGACATTAAAAATCTTGCAAATATTGTAAATATAAATTAAGTGTGTGTGTGTTTTATACTACATACATTATATATGAAAATATGTTATATACTACATACATTATATATTAAAATATGTTATATACTACATACATTATATATTAAAGTATATCATTTACTTTTTGTTTCGAAAACTTATGAAACAGTATATGTGTTTTTGATGAATTTTAATGTGTACAAAAATTCCATTAACACATTTTGTTAATATCATTAAAAAGTAATGTTAACTTTGACTTGGGAGTCTCTTAAGATGACCCCCTTTTGAAAACCCCTGCTTTAAAAAGCTGTACAAATTGATTAAAAATCTTTTTTTTTTTTGTCTGTCTGTCATTTTAGTGTCCTAATTGATCAAAGAAGTCTAGACAGTGGTCATCTCTCACAGGAAGTGAGATCAGAGACGTCGTCTAATCCTAGCTCTCCAGAGATCCTAAGCAATGAGAGGTACATTTTTTGTTTCGCCACTGGTACTTAATAAATGTGTACTATCAATATCTAATAAGAGTTTCTTTTTCTCTCTCTGTTTTTACAGGCCATCTCTCAAGCTGAAGGAGGTCAGTGGAAGACCAGATATCTCTCGATCCTCCTCCAGCACCAGCAGCTTCAGCAGTGCTGCAGGAGACCCAGAGACTCTGGAGGAGAAAGAGCCTGTACGTAAAAGTGTCTTCACGTTCATCATTAATGTTGCTATAAGAAGTGTGCATGTTAAGTCTGTTCTCTCATGTCTTCAGATTTCTCCCAGTCTCTCGCCTGTCTTTGGCTCTCTGAGCACAGAGGGACAGGGCGCAGGAACGCCAGTGATTATGTGCCGCAGTCCGACAGGTATTTGAGACGCTTCCCTCACATTCAATATTTGAATTCAAAATGTACAGCTTAAGGAGTCACATGTTATTGAATATCTGTCTATTAAAAGATTTTAGGAATAAAACCTCACCCAGATCCAACCTGAAGTTCCGCTTTGACAGATTGAGCCAGTCTGCTGCTGTAAGACTTTGTCCTTTTATGACTTGCTCTTTCATTCTCTATCATTCTCTGTAGTGTTTCGTTGGTTGTTTAGTCATTTAAGTGTGTGTGTGTGTGTGTGTGTGTGTGTTTTAAGGTTGGTTACTTGGTAACTTTAAACTCTCATTTCACAGGGACATTAGCAAAGGGAATGTCAAAGACGACCAGAACCATTGTAAGTTACTCATGAAAATCATAAATGTAGTCATAAATCACATAGTCTTGGGGGAGGAGTTAAACCAGATGCTGCATATACTGAAATAATTTTTTGATACCACATACCCCAAAATTTGATGATCCCCATTGTAAGGGACCTTTCTTCCTAAATTATAAAGACAGCTTTTAATTTCACTTCTGAAGACATATTTATGAGTCATTCTATAATTTTGGATACATTTAACAGCCATTGATGGTAATTATATTTTTTCTAACAATTTTCTTCAGATATATGTGACCCTGGACCACAAAACCAGTCTTAAGTCGCTGGGGTATATTTGTAGCAATATCCAACAATACATTTTATGGGTCAAAATGATTGATTTTTATTTTATGCCAAAAATCATTAGGACATAAAGTAAAGATCATGTTCCATGAAGATATTTTGTCAATTTCCTACTGTAAATATATTAAAACTTAATTTTTGATTAGTAATATGCATGGCTAAGAACTTCATTTGGACAACTTTAAAGGCGATTTTCTCAATATTTTGATTTTTTTTGCACCCTCAGATTCCAGATATTCAAATAGTTGTATCTCAGCCAAATATTGTCCTATCTTAACAAACCATAACCATCAATGGAAAGCTTATTTATTCAGTTTTCAGATCTTTTAAATCTCAGTTTCGAAAAATTTACCCTTATGACTGGTTTTGTGGTCCAGGGTCACATATCATATTTTATCCATTAAGAGAAGGCTTACTATATTGCACAAATATTATGTACAATCTATGTTTCAGTTGTTTGTTTGAAATGGCCTTGATGTCTCTTAAATGACTGTTTTTGCAGTGTCTGGTTTTGAAGTGAGTGTGTCTTCAGTTCAAAATAACGGATATAAAAATGTACAAGTTAGCATTATCTATAAAATATTAAAGTTACTTCTAAAATCTAAAAACTTCAGAAAAATAACGTTTTTTAGATGTATTATATTTTATTTATTTTTATTTTTATCTTTTCATGGACCTGAACTTTATCATTGACTCTCTAGAATATTTTGCAGCCCAGGACCCAGTTTAAAAACCTCTGATTTATAACATTTTAAAAACATTTACAAATAGTTTTGTCATTTTGACAGGAAAAAGGTATCTGGTTTAATGTGTTTTCCTGCTTTAAAAATATTTCCACATTAAAGAATGCTGATTTTTAAACTCCCCTGCAAAAATAGACCAGGAGAGAGGCATATGAGTTCAGATTTGAGGGGGGGAAATTCTATTGGATTCCAATGATATATTTTGTTCATAATTCATATAGGATACTATTTATTAAATCATATAACCATATAACAAGAACATAGTCTTTTTCACATTGCGAGAGCAAAATAAAAAGCCAAGAATCCACAACTCACAGCTCTTGCTAAGACTAAAAGAGCTGTTGCCACAGAAGGTCTTGTGATATAAAAGTCACAATATAAATGCCAAGCATTTCAATATTTTACTGATGGAATAAAATAGAGCATGACGGAAATTTACAAGCGTCCATCACAGTGATGGATAATGATTATTTGTAGCACAATCTCTCAGTAACGGGCCATAAAAATCACTCATAATCGTAGATTCTTATTAAGTTATGTTCTTGTCAAAAAGATTTGTCTTATTTGGTATTCACTAACACCCTGAACTCTCCATTTAATCAGAAAAGCAATGGATCAGCACTGAAAATCAAACCGTCGGGATGGAGGAGAGAAATTAAGAAAGGACCCATTACTCAAGCCTGTGCTCCCAATCTGAACATCACAGGAACAAGTACATACAGTTAGCATCTCCTTTAGTTCCTGCAGGTGGTCAACGGGTACTGACTTGGCACATTAATTGATTTTGCACATTTTGAAGTCTTTCACTGTAAAAATAAATATCTTGTGAGTTAATAAAATACAAACTTGGATTAGCAGGTCAATAATAGTAGCTATCCTCACTTAATAGAGTGTAAGAACAACAGATTTTATTTTAATTAACAAAATTCCCAGCACCTGAAACATTCCACAGTATTTTGAGACTCTATTTTGAGACATAAATGAGTGGGACAAACTGTAAAAGCTTTCATGAAACTAGCCACAGTAGATATCATAGCACAAATTAATTTCATAACAAATCTAAAATGCACTAGAGTGGTCAAACATAATCAAATTGTCTAGCACAACATTGCTTTCCTCTGTAACTCTCACACTTGTGCAATCCCTGAAAATCTGCCCTAAAATCAGGCATAGTTTGGAGATAGTTTCAGCCTCTACTGTGTTCCCTGAAGTGTTATTTATAATATATATTATTAGAATTAAAACTTGAAGTATTAAACTCTTTTTTTTTTAATGGTTGCTTCCATGACTGATGCCTATTATATTAGAAAACCACCAATCACTCTTATGTGTATATATTTATTGTGTATATTCATGGATTGAAATGCTGAAGAATAAACCTTTATTGTCACAAACAGCTGAAATGTGTGAAAATTTTACACTTTTAGAGGGACTTCTCCATTCTGGTTTTTGGTCAAATTTATTTTTTTTGTTTCCTTATAGTATAAATTGCTTAACAGAAAGAGCTGTGTTAATTTATTTCTCTATGATTGTACTGCTGTGTAAAGGTTTCTGTATGGCAATGTTGATTTTGTTAAGTAAAATATTGCATTTTAAAGACTTTGTTCCATTTGTAAGCCAGGCCATAGCTACTAAAACCCTGACTATATAATTTACTGGGCCTTTTACCACTTTTGCGGGGCCTTACAATCTGATAAACAGATGTTTGACAGTATGTACAGATATACAGTAGCCCCCAAAAATTGGATGCTTAAAGGGGTCATATGATGCTATTTTAAAGATCATTATTTTGTGTATTTGGTGTAACAGAATATGTTGGCATGATTTAATGTTCAAAAAACACATTATTTTTCAAATACTATACATTATTGTAGGTCCTCTATGCCCCGCCTCTCTCAAACGCTTCGTTTTCTACAAAG